AGATGGGAGGCAACCCCAGGACAGGAGCCGTGGAAGCGTACAAGGGGAAGGATTGCAGCGCGCTGGGAGGACTCGTCCAGACCATCATGAACGACATGAAGGTGAGAGTGTCTGCCAGGCGTGCCCGGGGAAACTTCCATAACAATGGAGCCAGCGGGGACAATGCAACCTGTTCAGCCGGGGAACTACAAGCCACAGCATGCATTGGGGCCCCAGCAGGAGGTCAGGCTGCAGCAATGGGAAAGGGGTACAGGAGCTTCAATGGGGGTGCTGGGACTTATAGTTCAACTGCAGACTGGCAGCTACAGGCAGCCCCGAGCAGCATTGCATGGATCATTGACATGTATAGGATTCCTATAGAGGAGGCTGCAGAGAGGAGCAGGACTTGGCACCCATAGTAGCCCTCATTATCATCATAGGCATGGACAGGACTGGGCTGACGAGCTTAGATATGGGACAGCCATGGCGCGACTGGTGTGTGTGTGTGTGTGTCTATCACCTGGGGGATCAGTCTGAAAACCATTTAGGTGTGAACAGCTTCTTCTTCCCATACCAGCTTCTGACTGAGGACCTTCACACCCAGTGTCACCTCCACATTTTCCTCTTGCACATTTCATGTTCATTTCATGTTCTTCATAATATTAAGAAACTGACCTAAAATCATGATTTTGTATTACTTTAGAAAAAATGTGACCTGTCCCTTTTAAGAAAAAGCATCGGTAATTGGTATCAATGAGTACTTGGAAAAAAGTATCGGTACTTGTACTCGGCCTTAAAGTCATATTGGTGCATCCCTAGTCGTCAGTTTGTTTTTTTTCCTCCCTTTCTCATGTCACAGCTCTCTAGCCATCACCATCACTAGATAGGGGCTATAAAAGCTCTGTATATATGGCCTGTACCTCCGGTATTCTGATTTTTAGTTTAACCCTTTCGCTGCCAAGCCCTCCGGAACATTTTTCAAATCAGCTGGATCATTCACGTGTGTTCTAAATGTATCATACCCCTCTTATATAGAAACCTGGACCTATTCAGCAAGGGAGAGACACAGCACAGTAACCTATAGTAACCATCAGAAATCATCTTTTAGTCATATTACTTTGGTGAAGTCTGATTGCTATGAATCACTACTTTGCTCTGAGGATATACATTTTGCAGTCTTATATCATACATTTTGCAGTCTTATATTATACATTTTGCAGTCTTATATTATACATTTTGCATTGTCTTTCAGTATAAATGTAAAATGTTCGTCTGCTAGCTTTTAAAATGCCCTCTTTCCTGTTTTCCTGAGTATAGAATGCCTTCATATGCTTGATTCTGCGTTGGCTTGGGTATAAAGAATGTAGGGGATTAATCATTTGTGACATTCATCATCATGTATACATGAAATCCTGTTTGACTTGCAGAACTAGTACTACGGGCCCAGTTTGTCAGGTTCTCTGGAACACCTATACTAGAATATGCAACTGCACATTTTATCTTCTCACTAAAGGAAGGATGACGATTTTGCTCTCTCACATCAGGGCAGCAAGGCAATTATACCGAATATTTAATAGGTCTCCTAACAGCGTGAAGGTATGTCAAGAATAGTGGGCAGCAGAAGCTAGGCTTGCATTCCAAATGCAGCAATGACCACGCCATAATGCAGCAATACCGTGCGTAGCAGCTTAAAAAAAATTGCGCATGCACTACGTTTTTTAACTGCACCATAGCACACAATACTGCGTGTTGGGGCACGGTCAGGTACAGTGAGGATGGGAGGTATGTTTGGGGTGCTATTCATATGAATGGCAACGTAAAACACCTCCCACACAGTAACTCACAGTAGGCGCATTGAGGGGTACTGTGCATTAAGCACACGGAACCATGCGATTAACAAATGGGCTTGGTGTGAATGGGCCCTAAAACAGGCCAGCTTACTGAGAGATGTCACACTGAGAATAGTGGATATTAAAACATCTTGGGGTGTCATCTACCAGTCAGCACCCTTCTTTCAAAGTACAAGATCATAACAAAAGTAATGTATTTTTTGGTAAGTTTACATAGTTACTATCTGTAATGATAGTATTCATTCTGTGAATCCCTTATTGATTGTCACTTGCTTATATTTATATTTATCTCCACTTTTACATGCAGGCCAAGCTGTTTACCAAATGTGATGGTTTCAGGAGTTGGGACAAACCATTATACTTCATTTGTGCTGGCAACATTGAGCTTCTGTCTCTATGGTCTAATCCTTTTGCAGGCACAGGTGTAAGTACTATGTCCGTGCCATCACTGACCTGTAAACAGACCCCTGGCTGTTTTAGCTGCTGGGAGTGTGTTTACATGTCTTCTGCACCCTCCTGGATTTCTGTTAGAAGTGATTTGGGTGGCTGTACATCCACTCGATCACTTTTATAGGCTGCAGACCCCTTAGGGGTCTATTTATAAAAACATTTTGCATTGCTATTCCTCCAATGAAACTGCATGTAAGTTTATTACGGTGAATTAACCAGCATTTGCGAATGTTCATAGGGTGTGTTCTCTTAGGATTGATTGTTTATTTGTAGAAGGATTTACAAATAAGGCCACTCAACTGAATCAAACGCCTTATGTATGTCTAGGGAAACCACTACTCTGTTTCCTGTGTTGTCATTGCAGGAGCTGATGAATAGTCGTCTTGTATTTATATTCAATGTCTTTGCCAGGGATTAATCCTGTTTAGTGTGACTTATTATGTGTTATACCGTTAAGACAAAAGGCTAACACTTAGGCCAAGATTTTGGCATCGCTCATTTACGTAGAATAGGGTCTTTATGTGGTTTTGGGATAAATATTATGAGAGCTTCCCTCCTAGAGTGTGGAACTCTACCAGAGTGGAAATCTACTTGACCAGAAGCAGTCATTACATAGATGGAGACAAAAGGTAATTATTTTTGCTGTGCCATTCTATGTGATATCCATCAATATTAGGTGTGTGATTTTTGTTGTGGTTAATTAAGGCTAATGGGCAGGGCTGTGTGCGTGTGTGTGTGTGTGTGTAGATGGATGTGCTCCAGGTATTGGTCATGGAAAGTATAATAGGCTTTAGAGCAGCAGCATTTCAATGGAGCAGCCGAGCAGCCACCAGCATCATAGAAATGCATGACGCTAATCCTGGGTGGGCTACATCCAGGACCTTCCCCAGCAATTAGCTGCACTGTGGTGAAGATTATAAGGTAGGACTCTGATGTGAAGAGGGCTTCTGATGTGAAAGGGAGAGGGGGACTCCATGTCATTTTTTGTGTAAGGTTCCCCCTTAAAGTTGTATTAATCTCTCAATCTTTTTTTTTTTCCAATAATGAGAGAGCCAGATAAAGTCAAGTTATATGAAGACTATGTGTGTTGCAGTCCGAGGAAGATGACAGGAATAGATAATAACACAGTTTAGTTGTGCGTCTCTGGTATGGTCTCCCTCAAGTAAGGAATGTTAAGGCGGACCTTTACCCATATCTTTAAAAGAACAACAAAGGCACCTTTTAGAAATGTTTAGTAACACCAATCTACAAACAGATACTTCTAGATAATTCCAGGCGTTGTATTCTTTGCATATCTTCTTTCTCTTTTCCTCCTCAGTCTTCTGTCGGTGGCCATTTTAACTAAGGGCAGGTTACTAGATCCTTTACTTCCTGGAACACTGGCACATGTGACTAGGACATGTGACCATGCACATCATCTCAGGAGAGGAAAATGCCTTTCCCTGAGATCTTATGAGACTACAGATGACATATCACAGCAATGCTCTGCTGATGTAACTTTCCCAGAATACAGCACTTGGGCACAGCTTACATTATTTGTGCCAAAGTGGAAAATAGAAATTGTAAGTAAAATAAAAAATGTTGCTTAGCTAATGAATGTAAGATGATTTCATATCAGCATGCAGAGCCAAATGATGTTATTTTTAGTCAATTGGGGTAAAGGTCTACTTTAAGTAAATCTTGGTAGTGACAATATTAGACGGTGATCATATGATATTGATGCAGAGATAGGAGGGGTTCTCGTATTTAGTATGATAGCAAACAAGGTGGCTTTAAAATAATACTGGTGTTATGAGGTGTTTAACTACCGTATGGTGTTTTATTTAGGGGAGCGATCTTGCTCCAGCCAGTGGTTTGTTTCAGCAGGTATATTAAAATAAATAAAATGTTGTAATAAAAATAAAGTCTTACCTGGAGGTGGCTGGCAGGATACTGTAAGAATTGCCATTTTCAGGTAGGCGCTTCTTCACAGAGGGAAAAAAGGTACCGTGAGGGGAAACTCAGGAGTCTAATTATATGGTCTTCCATATGTTCAATTTTGGTCCTTCTGATCTGCCAGTTTTTGTTAATGCATTTCAGAAGTCTGTGGTCATAGGATGAGCAGTATAGTCCAGGTCACTAATACGCTGTTTGGATTCTGTGGTGTGTTGTTGTAGCTCATGTCTTGTTTGACAAAGTAGTCCCTCTTTTTTTAGTGAGCGCGGTCTGATAATGGCTACTCCGTTATGTTTTCCTTCTCATCACACTTGGCAGACGAGGTAGGTAGCAAGTTATTTTGAGGTGTTGTGCGTTATTGTTGAGGGAAATTTGTATGAGCAGTCAACAAGTTGTAGATTGTCCAGGCTAACCACCTGCTGGTTTGATCATTTCTTGCCGCCATCTTAGATTGTGTCCCATGCAAATCTGGCTTCTCATTTGGCTTTTTCTTCACTATCTTGGGAGATGCTTGCAATCTCGATTGTATACCTTGCACTGATAAAGGTGTTATTTGGATGGATGAGTATCAATATTTTGTGCAGAAGTACTCAGTGGAGCAAGGGAATCGTATCTTTACATGCCAAAAGTCAGGCTTCCCACCCTTAATGTAAAAATGTAGAGCCTGGTTTCCCAATGTAAGGGGTAATTTGATCCAGTTAATACATTTCAATTCATTTAAGTTATATGATCGCTTTCAGTGAAATGTAGAAACTAATTTTCTCCTATCTTTTTACTTTTTCTTAGGAACACACTACAGTATGTCAAATGGAGGCGGAGCTAACAGTAGCACCCACCTGCTGGATCTGCTAGATGAGCCCATTCCAGGAGTCGGCACTTACGATGACTTCCATACCATCGATTGGGTGAGAGAGAAATGCAAAGACCGGGAGCGCCATCGGAGGGTAAGCATCATTTTCATTTTATAGACGCTAGTCAAGCAGCATGACTGTATATTAGCAGTTACATTCTTCCTCTTCTTTTTCCCTCCTGCTTTAGACCAGTCACACGTTTAAAGAATAACTACTAGGGCTGCACCGATACCGGTTTTTCAGTATAGAGTAGGAGTACCAATACTTATATTTCTGTACTTCTGGTAGCATTGAGCCAGCTTCACGGGCAATCTGGGAGCAAGACAGCATGTCATTACCCACCACCCAGATTCTTGATTGCCCGGGAAGCCGAATCCATTCTGTTTGGCCGACTCGATGCTGATTGACTGGGAAGCCGGCTTCCCAGCCAAACAGATCTGATAATATGGTGACACAACCTCCACCGTGCAGACACCTCATTCCCCTCACACCGATCCTCAGCAACAGTCATTACTGTACCACAGTACACAGGAGATGTGGGCAGATCGAGGAGCGCTTGGAGAGCGGTGTCTACCGAGCTGGCCGAGGGACATCTGTGGCACAGTAATGACTGTTGCTGAGGATCGATGTGAGGGGAATGAGGTGTCTGCGGGGTGGATGTTGTCTTACCATTTTATCAGATCTGTTTGGACTGCTCGATGCTGATTTGGCTGGGAAGCCGGCTTCCTGGCCAATCAGCATGGAGCGGGCTTCCTGGCTTCATGTTCCCTCGCGGCACTGCCAGTCAGAGGGAATCTCCTTCTAACCCGAAGTTCTAGTATCGGGAAAGGTATCGGAGCATTAGTACGAGTACTCGCCCAATCACTCTATATTGATACCGATACTAGTATCAGTATCGGTGCATCCCTAATAACTACCCTTAATACTAACCAGGACCCAATCACTCTCCCCCACCTTCCAGCCTTCCGAGTTTAGGATTTACTCAAAACACATATCTAATCAAACAATCGTCCACTTCTATATCCTGTTGCCTAAGCAAAGTCAATGAGGGTGACTTTCCTGGATGCCAGTAGGCATTACCTGACTGTACATGTTCCACACCAAGCCATAGACTATGGTCAGCCTATATTTGTGAAGCCCTGCTCCTTCAAGTATCTACTGAGGCTTATGGTTTTTGTTCCTTGTAAAATGCTCAATTAACACTGTAAATGCAATTGACAGTCAAAATAAGTGAGTAAAATGTATTCAGGTTCTCGTGGGCTTGTAAATCTTTGGCAGCGTGGTTTTACATCTTTTAAGGGAAAAGCATACAAGACTAAGACTATTTTGTTGTTTGACAAAAATTGTGTTGTTTTTTTTCCCCCTTCCCAGATAAACAGCAGAAAGAAGGAGTCTTCATGGGAGTTATCTAAAAGCCTTTATGACGCTTGGTCAGGATGGCTAGTTGTAACGCTAACTGGTTTAGCATCAGGTAAGCAACTGATTGGTGCCTGGATGCTTTTAAAGTCACTTGCATATTTGGAATCCAAAATAAAGTCAGTCTGAAAGCCACTTTAACAATAAACTATGACATAAAAGATCTATGTCCCTTTTTTAAAGGGCAGCTGTACCATTTGCTACAAGTTGTCCTTTAAGGCATGACCCTGAGTTCAGCTCACCTGGTTCAATACATAAGCTTGCCCTTCACTGTACAGTCCTGCTTTTAGTTGCACAACCTTTCTTCTGAATGAAACTCAGTCAGGTCCTCTTCATCTTTCGCTTGTGCTGGGCCCCATTCATTTATATGGGGAGCCCTAACTCTTAGCCACTTCCTGTGTTTTACGGTTCTCCATGTAGGAAATAATGGGACCTAACCACCTCCTGTAAAATTAGCAAATACCCTTCTGGCCTTTACCATATATTGTGCCAGAAATGATACTGGTTTTATCTTGGTAGTGGTCCTGTACTCGAAAGTAAACTTAAGCGGAACTATGGATAAAAAAAAAAGGCATACCGTATTTTTCGCTCCATAAGACGCACTTTTTCCCCCCAAAAGGAGGGGGAAAAAGTGCCTGCGTCTTATGGAGCGAATCCCGACGCCCGAGACATGCAGTTTCGGGCGCTGGGCGAGTAGTAGGAGCCACTGCTCGTTTAATACGAGTGATCTAACGAGATCACTCGTATTAAAGCCGAGCAGCGGCGGTGGCGATCAAGTTCAGCAGCAGGAGCCACTGTCTCAGCGGTCACTAACTGCAGCTTCTGTCACAGCTTCTGTCATAGAAGCTGTCACAGAAGCTAGTCGCGAGTGCTCCATAAGGCGCGCCGGACCTCCCTGCGTCCTATGGTCCGGTGCGTCTCATGGACCGCAAAATACGGTATGTGCTACGTTCTGTCACACAGCAGTTTTTCTAAGTGCCCCTGTAAGATAGTTTTAAAATCTGTTGATATCCTGCCAGTAGATCCATTAGTTTACCACTTTCATATATGTCAATTTTTGACTTTGCCCATAGTTCCACTTTAAAGTTGTGTTAATAGTTGTCCGGGATGGGTACATAAAGAGAATCAGAAGGGCTGAAATATGTCAGTGCTGCGTATTTGTCCTAAGACCTAGGTATTTGGTCATATAATCATTGCTGAATGCTAGGATCTGCCAATCTGAATTGTTATTTTCTTCTTCTTTTTCCCCTTCAGCAAAGATTAAATGATAAATGCTCGGCTTTTAGTTATGTAAGGAGCACTGGAGGGATTTTTTGTTTAGTAAAAAAAGAAAATAGTAATAGATGTCCAGCAGGAATGCTTCTGCATTTATTTTTGAATGACATTTTGAAGCACAAATCAAACCACCATAATAAGGACATAATTCAGTAGAGAAACCCCTGATTTATGCAGCGAGAACAACTGTTGCTATAAAATAAAAAAAATAACAAATTGTGAAAATACAATCAAATCTGTTTCCAAAATCCGGTCATATGATCTGGTCTGGCTGTTTTGCTTCCAAATGTTCATGTTTCAAAAGATGCAGCCTAAGAGGAGGGATAGATGCATATTACAAACTGCGGAGTTGGTAATCTGTGTTGTAGTCGCATGATATTTGGGGTAGCTTTGCTCTGCAAAACATTAAGTAGGTGTACCATGGAGTAGAACACTGTTGTTCAGTCTCTTTGGGTGAAGGGGCTGATGTCAGTGGGGTATTCTACTTCCCACACACACTCTGAGATGGAGGTAGAACTGGAAGTCACAAGATTGTTGCCATGTTCTTGCATTGCCCAGTTTGGGACTAATATTTATATGTGTTTCTGAAATATCTGGTATGCTGGCGGCAGAGCAATCATTGAAAGTTATTGCACTGTTACAAATGAAAACTTCCCCTTTCTATTCTGGTGTGTTGTTAACGTGCATTGTTTTGAAGCAGCCCCTTCATTTGAACTGGCTGCCAGCACAAAAAGAAAAATCCCTTTTTTACTGAGAGAGCGCACCACAACAAACAGTATTGTATTGCTGTGTGCTGCCATGCACTGCAATGCAGGTTCATTGCTTTAGTGCATTTGGGCCATTCAGGATGGAGTGCTGTTAATGCAATGTATGGGGGGGGGGAGTAGGCCCTAAAACCTATTTCTAATACAGGGCTCATTCGGCTGGATTTTCCTTACATGAGGGAATTGTATTTAGTTGGGAACTGAGTTATTTCAGAAAAGCTCAAAGGTCAGAATCACTCGGAATTGCCGGCCTCTTTAATCCAATGCTGTAGAGAAAAAACAGTATCTTAGTGTTATGATCAGTGCACAGCTCTCGAAGCTTATCCTTGAGTGTGCAAAGTGCAGAAAATGTGCTGCTTTTCAGTCCACTGTCGCATAATTTTTATCTACAGAGTACTCATGATTTGATACATTATTGGCACCATTGTTATATTATCCTGGGCAAATGTTCACAATACTGAAGCAGAACTGTGAGAGGCCAACACTATAGATATTGGATAACATTTGTTCTCTCCTAGCCCTGATGAAGGGGGTATATGTATAAGCCCTGAAATGTGTTGGTCACTTCTGTGCTGTCCCTTCAACCATACGTTGAATAAAGATGTATCTGGACTATTAAATGGAGTGTGGAGCTTCCATTCACAATCCTGCAGTTTGACACCACAAACCAAGGAGACAGTGAAGATGCTCTGGAATGCAGAAGCACCCTGTCTAGTAATCATCTCACCTATACCGACATATCCTAATTGTCAAGCCACACCAATAGGACAAACCTTGAAGGTCCAGCGCTTTTATTCCACTTCTCGTCAGCACCTGAATTTATGGGGAAGACTTCAGTCATAGTTACATAGTATTTGAGGTTGAATAAAGACACATGTCCATCAAGGCCAACCTAAGTTGACTGAAACAGAACACAGGGGGCCAAAAGTGTGCTTCTATGGCATTTCCTTCAGGGTCCACCTCTGATTTCCCAGTAGCTGTTGCTGCTTCTGCACAAGGAGCTGAGGATGATGGGGATACTTTGTGTTTGATGACTTAGCACATGAGTAGTCTGTCTACATATATAACTCTAAAATGTAAGAATACCATTTCTGTCCTTATTGACACTGTACCCACATGCCTTGACCCGGAGCAACTTGCATCAGACATGCCTAAGGTTCCCAGGCAAGGGTCTCTTACTTTCTTACTCTTTTCGTTCACCCCAGAGTTTGAAGATGACTGTACACAAATAACTAACAGATAGACAAAACAACAAATACAAAGAATTCTAAATAAGCTTAACTACCCTACTACCAACACATTACCATGGTGTTGGCCCTATGGCTCTACTTCACTCTCGGTGTATCCCCATTGTGGAATATCTGGATGATCCTCTATTGAGGAAACAGTTTGCACGGACTCTATCAGCCATTGTCAAACAACTGTTTAGATTCTACAGATGTTCCGGTGGATCCTGAACCTCCAAAATTTGGTACGGCAAACCACTTGTGTGAAATATCTGGGCCTTCTCTGGGATACTTCACTATCCCACAGGGAGACTCCACACTCTCTACTCCCATGTTCAAATGTTTCTGTCCAGGAGTGTTGGGGTTTAATGATGGTCTCAGCATTTTGGCGATGTGGGATGAGGAGGCTTGATTTGTGGACCAGGACATATGTCTGAACCCTAAAACCAACCTTGCCCTGGCCTGGTGGATCATCAGTCCTGCCATGGAGTTGGGAAAATCCTTCATCTCAGGAAGGTTCTCACAACAAATGCCAGCCTTTTAGGTGGGGGAGGAGTCCTGTGCAATGGATTTGGTCACTGAAGGAAGCTCGTTACCTGTTTAACATTCTAGATCTCAGAGAGATTTAGCTTTCAACACTGAATCTCTTGATTGCAGAATTATCTGACCAGGAGTAATTCAGTCAGCACCACGGCAGTGGCCTACAGCAACCACCGGGGTGTAACCAGAACTCAAATTCTGCCATTGAATGGAACTGTTCCAGCCCTATCCAAAGTAGAGACTCTGGGTGTGGGAAAATTGGCAGGCGATCTTCTCAGTCTACAACCACTGGACTTGATCTCTTCACCCCAAGGTGTTTCAGGTCCTCTGTTGCAGATGGGGATGCTAGACCTGGACCTCCTGTCTTCCAAATATAACAACAAACTTAATTAAGTTTGTTTCCTGGACCATGGATTCTTTGGCATTCGCAGTGGTTGCACTCATCCCAATGTGGGTAACTCATTGGCATCCCCCCTTGCCTGCTTTACAGGATCCAGATGGAGGGCATTCCAGTGATTCTTATTGCACTGATTTGGAGCAGCTGGCATTGGACCTCTTCAAACTCCATACAGACTCCCCGTGGGCCCTCCCAGATCATTCAGATTTAATGTCCCAAGGACTGCTTTACCAGCTTGCTTCTCGGTTGCTGGCTTTAATGGGCAGGCCCACTTCTAAAGGATAGGGGGCCTTTCTAATTCTGCTATCTCTATTCTTTTAAAAGCTAGTGAGTCTCCTCTGAAAGTCTACCATTGCATCTGGAAAACATAGTTCTCTTGGTACAAGTCAAGGAGTTTTCATCCCAGGAAGACGAATCCGGTCTTTTCTTCATTCTAAAATAAAAAAAAGTTATAATCACCCAGACCTCAGATCCAGCCGGATGTCACAGCTGTCTCTGCAGCCTCTTTCCTCCTAGGCTGCAGTGATATGTCCCCTCGATGTGCCCATGTCCAGTACACAGTGTATTGGAGGTGATGACTCAAGGATCCTTAGACCGATGCAGCAAAGGGGGAGCGAGACTGGAAGGACCGGTCTAGGAGCAATCTGGCTTGGAGGATCGGGTGAGTATAACTTTTTTTTTTTTTAAATGAGAATGAGCAGTTAAAGGAGAACTATGGGGTCAGTGTTTTTCCCCATAGTTCTCCTTAGGGTAACGGGAGGACACAAACTAGCGTCCTCCCGTTACCCTAAGCTCAGTATACCACGAGCTACAGCTCGCGGTATACTGAGACGCCGCACCTGGAGCGGATCCCGGCGTAGATGACGGGATCCGCCCAGCTGCGTGAGTGACAGCTGGCTCTGCCTTACCTAGAGGCAGAGCCAGCTGTACCCTCCCCCGTCCGTTCCGCCAGTCAGCGCTGGCAGATCGAAGCGGGGAGAGGGGAATCCAGCCCCTCCCCCTGTCACGGCAGAGAGCTGTGACAGGATCGAGAGGTGAGGGAACCCGGTATGTTTTCCCTCACCTCCCGATCTACTGAGCCGACCTGTGACAGTCTCATTGTCACAGGTCGGCTTAGAACTATGAGGTGAGTGGAAATCGCTCATCTCATAGTTCTCCTTTAACCCTTGCAGTGTGGGGGTAGCCCTACTGCAAGGGTTAATAACAATTTTGGGCAGACTTCTGCTTTAAGCTAAATTGGGTAGACTTGGCTTTGGTGTGCAAACAGCATGATGTGAGCACAAACACAACATATTTTGGGGTGTCAGACTGTGGACTGTATGCTATGTTTTCCCTCAGAATGTAGGCAAAAGTATGATATCTTTGTATTTTGGTGATGTTGTGAAATAGTTCTATAAGAATGGGAAATTTGTATCCACAGGTGCCCTTGCAGGCTTAATAGACATTGCAGCAGACTGGATGGCAGATTTGAAGGAAGGGATTTGCTTGGAGAAGTTTTGGTTTAACCATGAGCAATGTTGCTGGGACTCAAACGAGGCTACGTTCGACGAGCGAGACAAATGTCCTAAATGGAAGACATGGGCGGATCTTATAATTGGCCAAGCAGAGGTAAGTCAAATCAAAGGAGCAGGATGGAAATGTTTTCGGAACAAAATAACATTGAATGTGGTTTTCATTAGAGAAACTCCATTAATTCCAAAATGTAATGTTAAAAGCAAATACAAATTTCCAACATCATTCTTCAAGTCTTATTGAGTCTCATTGTCGAATGTGCTGATGGGATTTTTCCTATGAATGTTTGTTTGTCAGGTCATTTTTATCCCCAGCAACATTCATTGTCTTGTAGTTCTCTGACTCTCTGGAGAGTATGTTTCTGGGCAAGATTTTACACACATTTACCTAATGTACGTGTCTCTGGTTGTTTTCACCGTGTTGTAATATTTTATTTTTACAAACTGTACTGTTTTTTTAGGCTACATTCACAGATTCATGCCGCAGGAATCCGAGGTGCCCTGTTTAGATGCAGCCACTGTACCCATTAAAGTTCATGACTTGGTGACAGCGGCCACCTCTCTCAGTATATTATAAGACCGTTTTGTAATTAAAGCACTTTTATCACACTCGTGACATTTAATTTGCTCACTGTATATACTAAACAATTGGCATTTGTTTTATAAAATACTGCTTTCATTTTTTTTTTAGCCTTAATGTTTGTGTCTCAGTGCTGCTGACCTTCTACCTCTATGCATTTACTCCAGAGTCTGCTGCATTTTATTGCTTTGATCTTGATGGTGACATTGCTGTTCCATGCCTACACAATGTTTGTTGGCATGGCTGCTTCTAGTCTCAGTCAGGAAGCCGGTGTGTGTACAGGATGACAACATGAGTACAATAGGGAGGCAGTTGTCATCCCATAAAGGAAGTGCCTGAACAAGGACTTTTATGGGTGAATTACCAGGAATTATTTTAATGAAAGACTTGAACTCCTGGTAAAAAATATATTAGCCCTTGCATTGGGGCTCCCCCTGCGCTGCAAGTTAACTACTCAAGTACTTTTGTCTAGGGTAAAAAAAAAAGTTATACTCTCCTGATGCATTGAGCCGGCTTTTTCTTGTACCGGTCCTTCCAGCCTCTCTTCCCCTCCTCTGCAGCTGTCTAAGGTCCCGTAAATTGCGTTCTATACACTGTATAGACGTGAGGCCGCTGAGGAAGATTCCAATACTGCAGTGGAGGAGGAGAGAGGCTGGAGACAGCTGGCCGGCTTGGAGCTTCAGGTGTCCCTTCAGGTGTCCCTAGGCACAAACAAGCACTTAGCCCTTGCGGTGCTGGGGGTAACCTTACTGCAAGGGTTAATGCAGCTTTTCCAGAGATCTTCTTTAAAAACAATGAAATGAACGCTATTTATATTAAAAAGATTTTTGAATGGGCTTAGGCGTACGTAATATAGATGAGTAAGTGCAGTACTTCTAAATGTTCATTATTTAGATAATAGTATCACCTTGAATGAATTTCCCCATTTGCAAATGTCATAACTGATTGACTAAAAATGCATTTATAACACTATCTTCTAGGGTCCGGGATCTTATATCATGAACTACTTTATGTACATCTTCTGGGCTCTGAGTTTTGCCTTTTTGGCTGTTTGTCTGGTCAAAGTGTTTGCTCCTTATGCCTGTGGCTCAGGAATTCCAGAGGTGAGTTTTGGTTCTGTAAGTT